GGGAGGTATTGTTTTCATAGTAGGTGTATAAGCTGGTCATAGCGAAATCGTGGGTATGAGGCTCGTACTCAGAGGAAAGCTGTTGTGGCAATGTCATTTCCCCCTCCAACCTTTAATATTGACACAAATGCATTCAAGATAGTTCTCATCATTGTTGTGCTCTATTTCTGTAGAGATGTAGTTATTTCTTATTTATAGTGCAACTCCACCTTCTCTTTTATTTGGTCTATTTCTTTGAAATAATTTAAATCCTTCTAGCTGTATGTTCCATTTGTGGGTTTCATCCCACCAAGTTTACTTGATTTACTTGATTCAACTGCACTATCATGGCTAATGGCCATCATCTTGATTTTTTGTTTATACTCCTAGATGACTGAACCATATCTACTCCAAATGTATTAGGACTTCCCTATTTCTTATTGTTAATTACATTTTTGACACTATTTTACATTTGTATTGGTTGAACAGCATAAAAGCACTTGACATAAATAAATGAACAAACAGAAATGCAAAAGCCAATGGATGAATGGTGTTGCAGAAATAGGAGCAGCAATTGAAGAAGCCTTCAATGTGCCATGAGTTCTGCAGATGACATTCCCTGAAAAAAAATCATTCTGTCACTTCTATTTCTCAAAGCAAATACTTTCCCCTTTCCTAGCAAAATTTAAAAGTCAAAGCATCTTCTTTTTTTCTTAAAATAAAAGTATAACAATGATAATTTGGATTTAAACAAACTAAAACATTCATTTTTTCACACTTTAGTTTTTTTCATTCTAGTGTGCCACTACGGTGAGGACTATTAAATAATAATACTGGTAATTTCTTTGTAACAATGAGAAATAACTACATTTTAGCTATTTCACATTACTTTTAAGATAATGAGCCTATACCTGTAATGAAGCTTTCATAATATACTAGACAACTTATGACTCACTGGGTCATCCTTTCAGATATATTACTTCATCTAAACAGAAAATGGAAGCACAAACGTCTGCCACAGTCCGGCCATCAGCCGCAATCAGTGATGGGATTCAGCTGGTTCAGACCGGTTCGGGCAAACCAGTAGTTCCGGTGAGCA